CTGGCACATGCAGGCACATGCAAGTGTGAGGTCGTGGCTGTTATTGGTGCCATGGCTTTAGCCAGGGCCAATCGTGGCAACAGGACGCAAGGAAAAAGGGGCCCTGTTGTGAGTGATCATGGCAGCACGGACAGATAGGGTTGAGGGTTTAGGGCTGAGGGGTTTAGGGCCACAACGTAAAGCTTCCGAAGCTCACATGTACCTTCTTGGGTCCGTACAGTGATAGGGGGCTGTACTCTTGGGGGGTCTATATTCCCCAGATAACTTAAAACCCACCTGAAACCCTAAACCCTAAACCCTAAACCCTAAACCCTAAACCCTAAACCCTAAATCACTAAACCCCACCTGACACACCCAAAACCTTTGACAGTCGGGACCTAGGCCCTTAGCAAACTCTGAACAATATTCCTTAGTCCTTGGCATGTCCCCCGTATACTAAGAGTCCCTAATAAGGTTTAGGGTTTCGGGTTTATAGGGTTTAATCCGAGGATCTGCTAAAAAAGCGCCCCCCGAAATTTAAAGCAGCTATATTGTGCCCCGAACCCTCCGGGAAGACCACTTTCCATTACCGGAGCCAAAAGCCCCCAACATGCGCGAACAAACGCCCTACATTTAAAGAAAAATGCTTGGGAAAAAAATTGGAATTGCTGAAGGCTACAGGAATGATGGAAAGACCGCCGGCCTGCGAGGACGAGAAGCACAGAGATTTTGAACTGCTTAGGAAAAGATACGACGTGCTCTCGGATTTTTGGAATTGGAGACTGCAGCAGAAAACTGCGATTCCTTACTACCTTTCATCTTGGATCATTGTCCAAATCATTCGCTCCTGACCTACCCGGTAATGGGCCGGAATCCAGGCCAGAATTTGGGATTAATAAAACCCCCTCAAATAATGGAAAGCAAGGCGGGCCCACCGTGACGAGGCAAAAACAGAAGCCTTCCAGAAAGAGGAGCGGAAAGGACACAAGAGGACAGCCTCTTTCCGCGCACCTCCCCCACCCCCCCCCATCCCAGCCCAGGAAAAATAGACTCCTTGCCATTATTCCCGGGGGGGGGGGGGGGCCCTATTAATCAGAAGCACGGATTAGGGTACCTCCTATTTATACTCCCTAGTGAGCACTGTAGTATAAGGGGAAACATCCCAACATGGTCCTCTTAAACCCAAATAGGGGAAAAGATGAGATATCCCAATAGCCTACCTAGGGACCAAGGGGAGGTCGTACCAGGCACACAGCAGCTTTCGAAGCCGTTGTTTCCTTCGCTTGCGAGTCAAGTCCACTGACGGTGATAATGGGAGGTTCCATGTACTTATGACCCAGATTTCTAGCTGTACTTAAAACCCACTTGCAAGTGCCTAAAGTGCCCTAACAGGAGTACCATGAACCTCCACGTGAGGGATACAGGTCTTGCAATATGTCCCAACATGGAGGTTCAGGGATTTTTGGGGTATCTTGTTGGGGTCCTTATTATCAGGGGATCCTACTATTGGGGTGTATATGACGGACTCCTTATTATCGTAAACCGGCACATTAGGGTTGTTTTTGATAGCTTTAGGGGCTTGACGATTGCAGTATATCCGTATGTTTTAAGAACCCTTAAGAACTCCAACACGGGTACTCTGATTTTGGGGAAATATACCATGGCGCAAAGAGGAATGGTGGACTGAGGATTCCCGGCACCTCCAGGCTGTAGCGGTTTTTTCTTGCAAAGGAGGCTCAGAGGAGGGTTTAGGGTGTGCAAGGGTTTAGGGTTTAGGGCCCGGGCTCCAGGGTTTATAGGTTAGGAGTCCTTTGGGGTTTTATGGCCTGGAAGCGGGAAGGAGATTGGACAGCGCCGTCCTTTGCAGGAAATCAACTCTCAGGCCTCTGCGATCAGGTAGGATCCACGTCAGGGTGCTTCTGCCTGAACCCCTCAAACCCTACGACCCTGGTTTCTAAACCCTAAACCCTAAACCCTGAACCATAAACCCCAGGTGATCGCTCACAAACGGGCCCGAGGGAGTGCGGCGACGGGCCGACGGGTGTACAGCGGCGCAAGACTCGGAGTTTGAGGACGCACTAGGGTTTCGGGTTTTAGGGTTTAGGGTTAAGGGTTTAGAGTTAAGGGTTTAGGGTTTAGGGGTGACGCACTGCACTGCTTTACGTGTCATTTTGTGTAGGGGATATGACTAGGGGGACCCTTGGGAAAATAGACCCTCCGAACAAGGTCCCTGTTTACGAGAGCCAGAACAGAAGGGTTCCCTTTTAAGGGTCCCCCTTATCCTACCTAGGATTGTTGGTCTGAGGTTTAGGGCTCATGGTGGATCTCCAAGGACCTTAAACCCTACTTTGTAGACCCTGAAAAAATCAGCAAATGGTTTTAGGTAAAGTAGCAATAATAGGAACCCAGAAACCACCAAAAAAACGTATCATTAAAGTATAGTACTCCACAAAAAGAAACGACGCGACCGCGGTAGCTCGGCGTGGTCTCGTCATAAACACCCCGTCTTGCGACCGCCAAAAAGCCACATCTGAGAATGCCAAAAAAACGTCGCAACGGACGGGTTGCAGCATCCTACTCGGAGGTTCATTGTACTTAGGGTGCAGGGTTTAGGGTTTAGGGTTTAGGGTCTAGGGTCTAGGGTGTAGGGTTCAGGGTTCAGGGTTTAGGGTTTAGGGTTTAGGGTTTAGGGTTTAGGGCTTAGGGCTTAGGGTTTAGGGTTACAACCCACTTATAAGCCCCATAAGTGCCCTTGTAGGGATGAGAGTGGACCTCCAAGCACTCCAGACGAGGGCTCCCGAGCGACAATCGAATCATCTTCTCACGTTTAGCCACTATTTGCTTAAGAACCCCCCCCCAAAAAAAAAACACATAAAATAATAATAATAATAATAATAGTAATAATAATAATAGTAATCATAATAATAGTACTCCCCAAAAAATGCCCTTAGAAGGAAGAAGATTAGATTTTTTTGGTGGGTTCTTAAGCAATCTGCAAGTAGTCTTCGGTGGGTCGGAGGTTTGGGCCTTTGCCCCCTCTAGGGCCGTTCTTCTCAGGGTTCCGGGTTCAGGGTTTCGGGTTCAGGGTTTCGGGTTCAGGGTTTCGGGTTCAGAAACCCTAAGCCCTAAGCCCTAAACCCTAAACTCTAAACCGGGGCCGCTTTGGTGGCAAGGCCCTTGTCTCCGACCCCTGTCTGAGATCCCAGCGCACTGGCAAGGCATGGCTTGGGATGTTGCCCTCTCCAGGAATATTGTTCTTAGGGTTTAGGGTTTAGGGTTTAGGGTTTAGGGTTTAGGGTTTAGGGTTTAGGGTTTAGGGTTTGGGCTGTCAGGTTTTGGGTCTAGGCTTTGGCAGCAGTCTTTAGGAAGATGCTACTTGCAGATAAGGACCGAATAGGGACGGCTACTCCAAAAGGGACTTCCCAAGTTGCTGACATAAACAACGGTGAGACGATAGCAGGAGCATGACACAGCGGCACCATGGGGCCTAGCCCAAAACGATAAACCACACAAAACTAAGCCCTAAAACCCAAACCTAAGCCCAAAACCTTGAACCCCCAAACCCTCCGACCCCCCCTGAAAATCCCCAAATTTTAGGCCCGTTGCCTCGGGGGTGGGGGGTGGGGTGGTGTTGGGGTGGGTGGGGGAGGGGGGGGTGCGGGGGGTGGGTTGGGGGGCTGGGGTGGGGGGGTGGGGTGGGGGTGGAGGGTGGGGAGGGAGGCTTTTGGTTTGTAGGGTTTGATTTTTGGGCCTCTGGGCTCACGGTTCGTTGAGGGTTCTCGGGTTTGGGTGCATTGATGAGGGCTCACTGGGACCTGCAGTTCTGCAACAGAGAAGTCCGCAAATGCCGGTTGTTTTTGCCGAGCAGCTAGTGCTGAGAACAGTCCCCGGCCCTGGAAACCCTAGCAAGTGCGGACTACGCCGTTGCAGTGGTAGTAGTCGAAGTAGAAGAAGGATGGAGTTGTAGCTGTATTAGCAGAGACATAGAAAAAGTATGAGTAACAGAAATAGCGGTAGTAAAAGCATCAACAAGAGTAGTCACAACAGCAAGAGCAGTGCTTATCGCGATCGTAATCAGAATAGAACTGGGATGGCAATGCACAGTAAAGCAATAGCATCATACGTAACAGCTAGCAATCGTGCTAGTACTCATAGTGATAGCAACAGTAACAGTACAGGTAGCAGCGATAGTGATGGTGAAACACAGTGACCGCTATAGCGAAAGTAAGAGTAAGAGCAATCACAAGAAGCAGCAAGTAAGAACGAGCATAAGCACAAATACACACAAGAGTAAACTTAAATGCGTTGAGTTGCTTCCGATGGAATTTGGTTCAGTCCCCTAAAGACATTCAACCCCAAAACTCTGGAGCCTTAAACCCTAAACCAAGCTTTCCTAGGACGCACAGGCCCCGAACCCCCTCCGCCCCACGCGAGCTTGGCACACAAAGGGTTCAAAATTCTACAACAAGCCCAAAGAGCCCAATACCTGTTCTCAACTCGGAGATTGATGCTGTTGGCACCTTCCGAGCTGGTGCCACGTTCCGAAAGCGAAGTGCATGACGGCCTTCCTTTGCTTCGTGCTGTCTATGGGTGGCTCTTCAAAATTCCCCAACCGAAGAACTTCTACTATGTAGTTCCTGGTAGCCGGCAGGTGCATGAACCTGCATGGGCTATTATACCCGATGAGCCCTTAAGAAAAAGGCCCTTGAAAAAGGCTTGGCCTTAGGGGATTCTAAGGCCTAATAGCCCATGCTGGAAGGTCGACATGCATAAGAAGATAGAACCACAGTCAGAGGCCGGTCCGTGGCCTGTTTCGCCACGACAGCCCGCGCTGAAGATTCTCATAAACATGCTGCAATCAGGAGCTTTCTTTCTGTAGAATTTCATGACAACGACGAATCTAGGGGCTGCTGAAGAACTCGAATTAGAGTAGGGTTTTGGGGGTTAGTATACTTATATAGGGACCATAAAAACTAGTCATTATTCCGACCTCTACACTAAGCTTCTGAACCAGCATTCTTTCAACTGAATGTTTGCAGACGAGTCAGACAGCGATAGGGCGCATTGCTTCCCTGCTTCTCTGCCGGGTGCTCTTGCTGGGAGTCGCCGGCGGTGCCCCACACGTCAAGAACTCGACATAGCAACTGCGACACCTGGGGATTTCCGAAATTCGGGGTTACCTTATTGGGGGTCCTCATTATAAGGGTTTCGTAAACTCCCACCTGCTCAGGCAAGCTCGAAGTCAGGATGTGGTAGTCGTAAGCATCCGGCCTGCTCGGGCTGACACAACTGAAGTTCACGAAGACGGGCGGTCTCTCATCGAGGTCCAACCCTTCCAGGTGGTGTAGCCACTCACTCCCCAGAAAGACCACGAAGGGCAAATCTTGGCTATACCTTGAGGCGGTTTAGGGCTCAGGGTTTAGGATCCCTAGAAGGGGTTATGGTTCCATATTCCCTTAACAGGGATTCGAGGGAGTCGTAGGGTATACATATATACATATATACACTATAATATATAATATATAATATATAATATACAATATACAATATACAATATATAATATATAATATATAATATATAATATATAATATAAAAAGGCCCCCCCCCCCCCCCCAAGTTTGGGCTTCATGCGGTCCCCAAGGTACTTCTGCGAGTTCCTGAGCGCCATCTTGAAGTCGCAGATCTCCTTAGTAAGCCCCGTAAGTATCTTTTCATAAGGGTACCCTTTTTGGGGTTTAGGGTTTAGGGTTTAGGGTTTCGGGTTTAGGGTTTAGGGTTTAGGGTTTAGGGTTTAGGGCTTAGGGTTTAGGGTTTAGGGTTTAGTACCCATCTTATAATAAGGGTACCCTTTTTTGGGTTGGTCACTTTTGTAAGGGAGCCCAGAACCCAAAAAAAGGGTGAAGGGTACCACTGGGCTACCAAGTCGCTGTCGCCTCTACCGCATCCGCAACGCCGAGCCGCTGGGCATGCATCATGAAGATGAGACGTTCGTAGTCATGTCCTCCAGTTAGGGTTTCGGGTTTAGGGTTTAGGGTTCAGGGTTTAGGGTTTAGGGTTTAGGGTTTAGGGTTTCGGGTTTAGGGTTTATGCTTTAGGGTTTAGGGTATTGGGATGTTCCCCCTTGCCCTAAACCCTCCTTACTATGGATTACAACAGGGGGGGGGGGGGGTACTATAGAATCCCTATTGAGGACCTCTTGAACATCCCACCCTAAACCCTAAACCCTAAACCCTAAACCCTAAACCCTAAACCCTAAACCTAAACCCTAAACCCTAAACCCTAAACCCTAAACCCTAAACCCTAAACCCTAAACCCTAAACCCAAGTCCTCCAGCTACAAGGACATCCATCTTGCCCGCAAGGGTGGGGAGAGGCCGCGGCACAGCCGGCATGGACCGCTCCTGGGATTTTGGGGGTCGCCCCCCCACGGGGAAAACTGAAGCAGGTTTAGGGTTTAGGGTTTAGGGTTTAGGGTTTAGGGTTTAGGGTTTAGGGTTTAGGGTTTAGGGTTTAGGGTTAGGGCATGCACATCTGGGGGTTTCCGAAAATAGAGGGTGTAGGGTTTCCGGTTTAGGGGTGAGGGTTTCTGGTTTGGGGGGTTTCCGAAAGCAGGGGGTACCTTATTGGGGCCCGAGGAATCCTACTCTTTGGGGGGGCGTGTTTTAGGCTGTATTTTCGAAAAACCCCCCATATTAGGGCTCTTGAAAGGCATTCGACGAACCCAGAAGCCTGAAAATCAGCCCTAAACCCTACACCCTAAACCCTAAACCCTAAACCCTAAACCCTAAAGCAAAAACCCTAAACCCTAAACCTTAAACCCTAAAATAAGTGGGACCGTAGGATCCTCGGACATGCCATGGCCGGAGGCAGGCTGCCTGGCTGACCGACAGGTCAGCTTCAGCATGGCTCGGGAACCCTGAGCCCGCGTTTTGGCACAAAGCCAGAGAGCCCTTTATACCCCTTAGCGAAGGAAGATACCTTGATGATTTCAGGAACGTTCCTCAATTTCGGGGTAGTGGGCTCTTTGGGGACAAGCACCCTAAACCCGAAATCCTAAACCCGGAACTACTCTCCTTCACCCTAAACCCTAAACCCTAAACTCTGAACCCTAAACTCTAAACACTATAGCCCTGAACTCAGATGCATGCTCGAGCCATAGACGATGGGATCGGGCCATGGATTTATCTTGGGGCTTGCGTGTTTAGGGTTTAGGGTTTGGGGTTTGGGGTTTAGAGTTTAGGGTTTAGGGTTTAGGGTTTAAGTTTTAGGGTGTTCCCCCCTTATACTAACAGTCCTTAAGAGGAACTATAGTAGGGGAAAAATCCAATCCCTATTAAGGTTAACGGTTTAGGGTTTAGGGTTTAGAGCTTAGGGTTAAGGACTCTTAGTATAAGGGGGAACATCCCAAGAGTTACTTTCTGAAGCCTAGGGTTAGGGTTTGGGGTCTGGAATTGTGGGGGGGGGGGGGGGGGTTCCTGTAGGGATTTAGCAATTGCGGGTGCTCTTGAAGTCCCCATATACGTGTTCTTGATGGCATGCCGCAGATTGGATGTTTTTTTCCTGAGGGTCCGGCTTAAGCCCCAAGCCATTGCATTGTGATGTGGTTTAGGGCCTAGGATTTGCCCTAAACCCAAAACCCAAAACCCTAAACCCTAAAGCCTGAACCCCAAACCCCAAACCCTAGTCAGGGTCCAGGTTGCTACATGCTTGGGCTTCATCATGGAGGGCAGCCCGCTTTTGTTCATCTGCTAAGCTGCGGATGCGAAGGCGCCCCGCGAAGGGACGGATTGAAATCATAAAATTCCTATCCGGGCGCCGGGGGGGGGGAAGCACGCTCCAGACTGGGGCATCATGCTCTTGTAGCACCGACTCGGAGTCGGAGAACCGGAGGTTCGCTCCTCAGTCGGAACCCTAAACCCTAAACCCTAAACCCTAAACCCTAAACCCTAAACCCTAAACCCTAAACCCTAAACCCTAAACCCTGAACCCTAAACCCTAAACCCTATGAGCCCTCTGATGGTTCACCCCCCCCCCCCCCCCCAGTTCCCTCTCGAGGCTCTCGTTGTGGAGCCATCTCTTCAAGAGCACTTTGGCTTTAGGAGGAATTAGGGTTCCTAGGGTTTAGGGTTTAGGGTTCCTAGGGTTTAGGGTTTAGGGTTTAGGGTTTAGGGTTTAGGGTTTAGGGTTTAGGGTTTAGGGTTTAGGGTTTAGGGCTTAGGAGGAATTAGGGTTCCTAGGGTTTAGGGTTGGGGTCCCTAAGGTTGAGGGTTTGTAGGGTTGAGGGTTTAGGGTTTAGGGTTTAGGAGGAATTAGGGTTCCTAAATTTTAGGGTTAGGGTCTTATAAGGTTTAGGGTTCCTAGGGTTTAGGGTTTAGGGTTTAGGGTTTAGGGTTTAGGGTTTAGGGTTTAGGGTTTAGGGTTTAGGGTTTAGGGTTTCGGGTTTAGGGTTTAGGGTTTAGGGTTTAGGGTTTAGGGTTTAGGGTTTGTGTTCAGGGCATTGGGGGTTCATAAGGGGCACCTGCTGCAGGCAAGTGGGGGCTACTTAAGTCTTCCTGGCAGGTCCCAAACGCTAAGAACACCCCCCCCCCCCCCCCCAACCCCTAAATCCCCTAAACCCCTAAATCCCCTAAACCCCTAAACCCCCTAAACCCCTAAAACCTAGACCCTGAACCCGCAAGCCATCAATCTCAAGCCACAGACCGTTGGAGCGTTGCCCGTTCAGATGGACCGGAGATTCCAAGGGGTTTTAGCGTTTAGGGTTTAGGGTTTAGGGTTTGGATTTTGGGATTTTTGCAGGGTTCAGGAGGCTCAGGCGCGGCTTAGGGTTTGGGGTTTGGGGTTTAGGGTTTAGGGTTTGGGGTTTGGGTTTAGGGTTTAGGGTTTAGGGTTTAGGGTTTAGGGTTTAGGGTTTAGGGTTTAGGGTTTAGGGTTTAGGGTTTATGGTTTAGGGTTTAGGGTTTGGGGATCGGAGGTTACGGTTTCGCTTTGTGGAGGCTTGCTCGATGCCGCTCGACGCCTCACTGCTTGCAGCTGGCCGCTGACGGGCCTACCATGGGATTTCTAACCTCGGCTGGGCGCAGGTTGAGCTTGGCGCTTCTTGTCTTAGGGTTTAGGGTTTAGGGTTTAGAGTTTAGGGTTTGGGGTTTGGGGTTTGGGGCTTGGGGGTTAGGGTTTAGGGTTTAGGGTTTAGGGTTTAGGGTTTAGGGTTTAGGGTTTAGGGTTTAGGGTTTAGGGTTTAGGGTTTAGGGTTTAGGGTTTAGGGTTTAGGGTTTAGGGTTCAGCATCTCAAGTTCAAGCATTCACTAGTAAGGCTCCACTCCGGACTCGAAAATTGAATCCCATAACATTCTGAAAATGTTTTATACTTCTCGATTTAACCCAAGATGGGTTGTTTCCTGGGGCTCTTCTGCGGATTGTGCCGGGGCGCCCCCGGGACAAATGTCCCTAAACCCCAAACTTTGTCGGAGTGGGCCTGCGGGCGGCTTAAGGGTACAAAAGTAGAAAGCCTCTTTCCTTGAAAGGGAAAGCCCAGAAGGAAATCGTAGATAAGGAGCCGGAAACATGTAGACTTGTCGGGCTGCAGGTGAGGCCAGGGTGTTGGGGGTTTACGACCTTGAGCTTCACAGGATTATCGGTGCATATGGGCCTATTGGGGTGTACGTAGTAGGGTTCAGCAGGCCATTGTACGGGTGTAGGGTAGTCTAGTAGGGTTTAGGACCTGCAAACCCTAAGCCCCAAACCTTGCAGAGGCGTGATTTAGGGTTTAGGGTTTAGGGTATAGGGTTTAGGGTTAAGCCCTAAACTCTACACACCTTGCAAGCCGCTTCCTGCCTTCCGCCATCCAAGCCCTAAGCAATACAAGCCGTCGCAAAGAAGCTTTACCCCTGAGACTAAGTGCCCCTAAACACTCTCTAACCTATATATATACATATATATATATACATCATCATAATAATAATAATGATAATCATAATAAGAATAATAATAATAGTAATCATAATAGTAATAATAATAGTAACAATATTATTATTTAATGGGTAATGGATTCACGGTTTTCCGCCAACAATTCGCGGACAAGCGCCAACAATTCGCGGACAAGCGCCAGCAATTCGCGGACAAGCGCCAACGTATTCGCGGACAAGCGCCAACATTTTGCGGACAAGTGCCAACAATTCGCGGATAACAATTCGCGGACAAGTGCCAACAATTCGTGGACAAGCACCGGCGGGGTTTAGGGTATAGGGTTTAGGGTTTAGGGTTCAGCCCACAAGGTCCCGGGCCCATCTTCGCTGTTGATGAACTTGCCGGTCGTCTCCATGCTGATGGCTTTGGCCTGACCCAGCTCCGCGGGTTTAGGGTTTAGGGTTTAGGGTTTAGGGTTTAGGGTTTAGGGTTTAGGGTTTAGGGTTTAGGGTTTAGGGTTGCTTCGGAGCTTGCATAGGGCTTGCCCGAAAAGCCGAGAGCCTAGAGAATCCTGGAGCCCCAAAGCCCTAAAACCCCCTAACCCTAAACCCTAAACCCTAAACCCTAAACCCTAAACCCTAAACCCTAAACCCTAAACCCTAAACCCTAAACCCTAAACCCCCCAAAACCCTAGAATCCGAAAACTGGCCCCTGGGGCTTACAGGGGCGGGCTCGGCTTGCTACTCGGAGGATGAGTGGGACTTTTGAAGGGTTCAGCGCTTACGGCTTAGGGTTTGGGATAAAAACCCAAACCTTTACCCCAAAAGGCTTCAAACCCTACACCCTAAACCCTAAACCCTAAGCCCCAGTGAGCAAAAACTGACTACGTCATCTTTGCAGAGGTGGGAGTTCAGGCTCTACCCCGAGCCCTAGACCCTCGTTTAGGGTATAGGGTTTAGGGTTTAGGGTTCAGGGTTTAGGGTTTAGGGCGTAGGGTTTAGGGCTTGGAGTTTAGGGTTGAGGGCTCTAGCTAAAATCTAAACACAATAAGCAGAAACCCAGAACCCTATAAACAGAAGCCCTCAACCCCAAAGCCTAGAAGCAGAAGGCCTCAACGCCCAACCCTATCAACAGACACCCTAAACCCTGAACCCTAAATCCTAATGCCTAAACCCTATAAACCCTAAACCCTGAACCCTGAACCCTAAACCCTGAACCCTGAACCCTAAACCCTACTCCCTAAACCCTGAACCCTAAATCCTAATGCCTAAACCCGAAACCAGAACCCGAAAAAAAACCCACACCTCCGAACCCTAAGCTCTGAACGCGCAGCCAGGTAAAAGTCTCTCTGCTTTCGGGGGGTTATAGGGTTGTAAGTTTATAGGGTTTAGGTTTTAGGGCTAGGATTTAGGGTTCTCAAGTTTAGGGTTCCGACTCCTGTCGCAACCGCCAGCCCGCCAGCCCCCCCCCCCCCCCCAACCTCGTGGAGGACGCGCTTTGCGCCGACGCTGGCATCCACGGCGCCCTGGCTCCGGCACAATTGTGAGGGTTGGCAGCTTTTAGGGTTCAAAGTTTTAGGGCTCTAGGGCTTTAGGGTTTTAAGGGTTTTTTTAGGTTTTTTGGGTCTTAGGGTTGTGGGGTTTCAGGATTTTGGGTTTTTTGGGTTTAGGGTCTTTGGGTTGTCGGGTTTGGGTTTTTTTTTACACCCTAAACCCTACTTACCAAGTGAAAAGGGCTTCCAACAGTTCCAAGTATTGGGGTTTCTAGGGTTTGGGGTTTGGGGTTTAGGGCTTCTGGGGCTTTAGGGCTTAGGGGGTTAGAGTTCCAGGGATTCTGGGGTTTTCGGGTGTAGAGTTGAGGGTATGGGATACCGGACCAGGTTTTAGAACCCTAAACCCTAAACCCTAAACCCTAAACCCTAAACCCTAAACCCTAAACCCTAAACCCTAAACCCTAAACCCACCATTTTGTGGGGCCCCTATAAAGTCAAACTTGCCGGGCTTGTAGGTGGAGGTTCATGGTACTTATTCACCAATTAGAACTGTACTTACAACTGTACTTATAAGCACATTAGAGCACGTAAGGGGCTTATAAGTGGACTATAAGTACAGTTATAATTGGTTAAGTACCATGAACCTACATGTAGGTGTAGGGTCTGCTATATACAGTCAAGCTTTCTAGGCTCCCTGGCCTCTTCCAGAGAAGCGGGGGGCGGGGCGGGGTGGGGGTGGATACACACTAAAGCTTCCCTAAACCCAGCTACCCTAAACCCTAAACCCTAAACCCTAAACCCTAAACCCTAAACCCTAAACCCTAAACCCTAAACCCTAAACCCTAAACCCTAAACCCTAAGGGAGGTTACACGGTCCCTGAATATGGTACCTTACCTTCTTTACAAGGGTTCTGAAATGTGGGCCCTGGGGTCGTACAGGGTATAACTTGAGAAACATCAGGCTATTAGGGTTTCTAGGTTCTCTTATGTTTCGCTCCTTCTAGGGCTTAAAGGGTTAGGGTTTAGGGTTCAAAGTTTAGTTTAGGGTGCTTAGGCAACCTACCATCTGGAGGCCGAACTCTGACTGGTTCTGCTGATAGCGTGAGAAACCACGAGGTGCACAAACTCACTACTTCAAAAGGATCCTCTTCTAGGGTTTCGGGATTCGGGCTAATTGGGATATAGGGTGCGGTTTAGGGTTTAGGGTTTAGGGTTTAGGGTTTAGGGTTTAGGGTTTAGGGTTTAGGGTTTAGGGTTTAGGGTTTAGGGTTTAGGGTTTAGGGTTTAGGGTTTGGGGTTTAGGGTTTAGGGTTTAGGGTTCAGAGAAAAAGGGTTTAGGGCTTAGGGCCTAGGGCTTAAGGCCCGGGACTGAAGGTCCTGCACAGTACCATCAACCAGACCATATTCAATACGTGGAGGATCGATGAACTTAGGAAGTAATCCCTAAACCCTAAACCCTAAACCCTAAACCCTAAACCCTAAACCCTAAACCCTAAACCCTAACCCTAAACCCTAAACCCTAAACCCTTATAATGAGTAGCGCCAATTAGGTAGGATAGCCCCAACTAAGGTTCCCTTCTGGGTACTTCCATCTCTACTCTGCCTCCTCTGCTAAATCCCCGATCCTCCAAGTAGGGTTGTAGCCCTAAACCCTAAACCCTAAACCCTAAACCCTAAACCCTAAACCCTAAACCCTAAACCCTAAACGTACATAGCTTCCCCGATAATGCTACCAGCGGCCAGCGGGCAGCCGCTGGCTAGTTTAGGCTTTTGGGTTTAGGGTTTTAGGGTTTTAAAGGGTTTCCGGTGCCTTGTCCCCTCAGAAGGCTGCAGGCTTTCGTGTTGAGATTCCACTAAAACCCTAAAGCCTATCAGCCCGAAACTCAGGGGCGTCGGGCCACCCACTGACCTAAACGGCCTTGTTTCAAAAATCTTGAACTCGTCTAGGTTGAAGTGCTTCTCAACAAGATCCAGGGACAGCGCAAATTATCCCAAGGGCCTGCCTAGTGAAGTAGCACACTAAAGCCACCGTCAATTGCTCCTTTTAGACCCCAGAACCTCCTCAGCGTCCCAAAAAACCTTTTCTAGAACCTTGAGGCTTCCGGCGCCGCCTCCTTGTCCCAGATGTCGCTGTACTTCGAAGTCATCTCAGTGCGATTGAAGCCTGCGGACAACCACTATTTGCTCAAGAACCCCAAAAGAATTTAACAAATAAAAATGATAATCCCTACATTACCCTTAGTAAGGAAGAATATTTTCATTTTTCGGGGTTCTTAAGCAATGTTAAACATTAAAAAAACCCTATATTGGCCTTAAGAATGAAGAATATTCAATTTTTAGGGGTTCTTAAGCAATTAGCGGACGAGAGCTGCAAGTTCGTGAGCCCCCGGTGGCGAACGTCTAAGGTGTATCGGATGTCGTGCAGGTATACTGCAGCGGGGTTTAGGGTTTAGGGCAGTTTAGGGTTTAGGGATTAGAGTGTAGGGTTTAGGGTGTCAACAGCAGGCTTCAGAAGGAGACCCCAGAAGATAGCTACAGTAAGGAACCCGAGCATCTTGCGGATAAAGGGGCCCCACCCAAACCCCAAAACCCCAAACCCTAAATCTTCATGATAGATTTACCCCTGCGAGTGCCTGTGCGGTCACCTACATAGGAGCCTTTAGGTAGGGTGGCCGTGGGTTTCTTTGGGTTGGCGTCCTTTGAGCTTCAGGCCTTCCGGCAAATTGGGGCACCAGGAGTTCCTGTCTCACAGTCATAGACCCAAACCCTAAACCCTAAACCCTAAACCCTAAACCCCAAACCCTAAACCCTAAACCCTAGACCGCGAGTTTAAGCCCAGCAGGCCTGGATGGACGAGGACGACGGGAATGCCGGCCTCGCACGTTGTTAGGCAAGGAGAGCATCGAGGGCTTAGGGCTAAGGAGTGTAGCCGTAAACCCTAAACCCTAAACCCTAAACCCTAAACCCTAAACCCTAAACTCTAAACCCTAAACCCTAATCCCTAAACCCTAAACCCTAAACCCTAAACCCTAAACCCTAAATCCTAAACCCTGTTTTGGAGGATTTGCTACCATTTGCTTAAGAACCCCCAAAGAATGAAAACAACAATTATATTACCCTTGTAAGGAAGAATATTTGCTAGCAGTTGAGAGTTCTCAGAGTTTAGGGTTTGGGGTTCTGGGCGCATGACATGACAGAGTTAGGTCAAAACTATGGTGCGGATGGCAAGCCGACTTACCAGCTCTCAGAAGGGCGCGAAGGACAGAAACCGAGTAGGGGTTAGGGTTTAGGGAGCTTCGAGGTTTAACCCTAAACCTTGGGTTCGGCCGGTCCACACTAACAGTCACCACCAGCAGACCCACAAATAAAAGCACCCGGTAAATGCCAAAAAATTGACTGAGATTCCTGCTATTCCTGGTGCTATTCCTGGTGCTATTTCTGGTGCTATTTCTGGTGCATTTTTTTGTGCTATTCCTGGTGCTATTTCTGGTGCTATTTTTTGTGCTATTGTTTGTGCTATTCTGGTGCTATTTTTTGTGCTATTGTTTGTGCTATTTCTGGTGCTATTTCTGGTGCTGTTGCTGGTGCTATGTGACTAACAATCACCATCAGCAGACCCACAAAAAACAGCACCCGGTAAATGCTAAGCTGCTAAAATTGACTGGGATTCCTGGTGCTATTTCTGGTGCTATTGTTTGTGCTATTTCTGGTGCTATTTTTTGTGCTATTCCTGGCGCTATTTCTGGTGCTATTTTTTGTGCTATTGTTTGTGCTATTTCTAGTGCTATTTCTGCTGCTATGTGACTAACAGTCACCACCAGCAGACCCACAAAAAGAAGCACCCGGTAAATGCTAAAATTGACTGGGATTCCTGGTGCTATTTTTGGCCTGTGTGTTATAAGGCCACGGCGTTATTTGACTGTTAGTGTGGACCGGCCGAACCTTACCTAAACCCTATAAACCCTAAACCCTAAACCCTAAACCCTAGACCCTAGACCCTAAACCCTAAACCCTAAACCTTAAACCCTAGGAACTAAGGGACACCGGTCCGAACGCTTCTTTTCCACCGACCTTCCTACACCAGAACCCCGAAATACCTCCTAGACCCGGAAGTAACCTAGGATTAAAAAGGGTGCTCCTTTTGGTTTTAAGGGGATTATAAGGGAACCCCAACCCTAAAAAAGGAAACAAGGGCCTCCTCCCGGTCCTAGCCTCCGGCTGGCTGAACAGTTTCCACGCATATCAGACCCGCATCCTCACTCTGGACTACGTAGCCGTGCCCTCATGTGCCATGGTTGACTACATAGGACTTGGGTTGAGTTAAGGGGTAGAAGGAGGGACCCCTAGAAGGGAACCTTACTCTGATTCCCCTATGTAACCCCGATTTATGCCTCATATTAAGCAGCCCCCAAACAATCCCCAAATAACCCCTAAGGTGCATTCTAAGGGGCCCCTCCTTTAGTCCCTTGATTTAGGGTTCATTTAGGGCCAGGGTTTCGGGTTAAGGGTTTGGGGTTAGCGTTTAGGGTTTAGGGTTTAGGGTTTATTTAGGGTTTAGGGTTTAGGGTTTACCTCGTGCCTCGGGGAAGGTTGGGCTCTCACACCGAGGACCGGGTGGCTTTGTGATTCGGGTTTAGGCTTCAGGGTTTATGCTTTAGAGTAGGTTTAGGGTTTAGGGTTTAGGGTTTAGGGTTTAGGGTTTGGGGTTTAGGGTTTAGGGTTTAGGGTTTAGGGTTTAGGGTGAGGAGGATAACCCCAATGAGGACTGCGGCTTCTTGTAGTGGGGTGTCGGTGTGGCGCATGAGTCCTGGGTAGACGTACCAAATCCTCCAAACGCATCGAGCGTAACCTGGCCCTGCGACGGGAACTCGTTCAAGCGCGTCATCCAGCGTACCACGGTCAGGGCGGCGGCTTGTCCGAGACCATCTGATCTCCCAGGTTCCAACTGGCACACCGTTCAGGATTGCCTGGCCCTGCGCCAGCATCTCTCTTGGCCCACTGCACCATAGCTTGCCCTTGCCCAAGCCTGAGCGGTTTGGGCTCTTGACCTGGTGATGTCATGAAGTATCTCAGGGAGAATCAAAGGTCTTGCCCACGGCTGCAGCGGCGCACTCTCTGCCTCTGCCTCTGCCTCTCGCTCTCTCTCTCTCTCTCTCTCTTTCTCTCTCTCTCTCTCTCTCTCTCTCTCTCTGTATTTTCGCTCAACAGCAAATTAAAGTATGCACACGCTTCCTATACACGCATACGCCCGTTCGCTTCCTGCAGCCTCTTAAGACTTCAGGCATTCAAGCACTTTCTTCAGGTTCTTTTAGGGTTTTGAGGTTCAGAGTTCAGGGTGCTCCAAACCCTAGACCCTAAACCCTAAACGCCCCTCGTGTGCGGCCTTCTTCAGTTCCTCCGACATCAGCACCGCAGCGATGTTGCCTTTTGAATATCTTTGGTGGCATTCAGGGTTCAGGTTTAGGGTTCAGGGTTTAGGGTTTAGGGTTCAGGGTTCAGGATTCAGGGTGCAGGGTGCCTGTGGGTTGACAGGTTCTTGGGGGCTTGCGCGGCAGTTTATGGGGCTTAGGGTTCAGGGCTGCATACAGGGTGAACTAAACAGGTCTCAACCCTAAGCCTAAACCCTAAACTTCTTAAACCCTAAACCCCCTAAGCTCCCTAAGCTCCCTAAGCTCCCTAAGCTCCCTAAGCTCCCTAAACTCCCCAAGCTCCCTAAACTCCCTAAACTCCCTAAGCTCCCTAAACTCCCAAACCCCAAAACCATGTAGCTAAGCTTTAGGGTTTGAAGTGGTTTGCAGTCCGGTTTAGGGCTCAGGGCTTTGGGCTTAGGGTTTCGGGTTTAGGGTTTAGGGTTTAGGCAACACAAACGAGAACAGCTGGAAGCGCCCAAAAAGACAAAGCAGCAAGCAACAGCGGGGGCTTTGACCCCAACCCCAAGCCCCGGACCCTAGCGAAAGGCTTGTTGGGCTTAGGGTTGAGGGTTTAGCGTTTAGGGTTTAGGGAGTAGGGTTTCGGAAAACCCTAAACCCTAAACCCGCAATCCTGCATTCCTCATGGACAAGGCGCATGCTGCGCGGCTCATGTGATGGCCGTAGTCGCCACCTGATGGCCAGACGTCGATAGGCG